AGGCATATTTTCTGCGGGTATTGTTGTACCTGCTTAGGTAAAGTCAAATATTTTTAGGTTAAGTGGTTGTTGAAGCCTGATGCACAACCACTTTACCTAAAAATATTTGACTTATCATTGTCTGCTATCTATTCATGTGAGTAACTTCTTCCTTATCCACGGGTAGGCAAAAATCAGTAGGTCAGGTTAGGTAAGGTTTAGGTAAGGTTCCCTACGCTTCCCATGAGGGAGGGAAGATATTGTGGGACCGATTCCCTTCTCTTATATCGTGGTGAAGAGAACACACGTTCGAGCCCCGCTGTCATTCGGAGACGCGGTCCCCCAACGCGTCATGGCCCGGCCGCCGACCCAAATAGGTCGGTGGACCTATAGGGCCTTGGGTGGACCGGCCAGTATCCTGTAACCACCGCTGCTCTGCGCCGACACCGACGCTGACGAACTGTACTCATTCGGAATACACCTCTCGGCCAGTTCGGACCTTGTCTCTCGCCTTCGGTGCCTCCGCGACAATGGTGGCAGCGGTGGGATTTTCTAGCGAGCTCGCTTGGCAGGGGCCAAACCCCCCATGAGGCGGCGCAGCTAACGTTACGGGCTGACCTCACATTTTTGCGTCCGTGTTGGCACGACTTGTATAAAACTGCCACGTACTCTAAAAATACAGGCAGTGCTTCGGATCAGCTCTGTGGTGGAGGACGGAGCACTGCTCCTGAAAAGAGGTAAGGGGGCCGCTCCCCTCGCTACAACAGGCTTTACCGTTTATGCTCCGTATGTGAAGCGGTCTTTAGGCAAAAACCTACAGGCGGCTATTTTTATGTTGGTAAAACTGGCCTCTGCACGAAAAACGACCGCCTTCCGCACCGAGCACCTCAGCATGTGTGGTCACTGATTCAAAAACGATACACTTCGTTTACACTTCGCAAAACGTTCAGTTTGAGTTAGAAGAGGTTCTCTAGGAGGTGTTTGCCTTTTGCATTGTAGTGTGTTAGTGTTAGTGTGTGAGTGTGAGTCAGTTGTAGCAGCGTGCCGTGGACCCGTGGGCCCGTCGCGGCGGCGGCCATTACTCGGCGGCGGGTGTATACACATATATATATATATATATATATATATATATATATATATATATATATATATATATATATATATATATATATATATATATATATATATATCTTTAAACGTAAATATTCGGATTCAAATTCGAGTAACGATTGACAAGATCAACATCTGAGGAGATCTCGACGGGGCGGCGGGGGCGGCGGCGGCGGCGGCGGCGGCGGCGGCGGCGGCGTCGGTGACGCTCGCGCGCGCGCAGTCCACGTGCCATTAAGGGTGTACTTCAACACCGTTATGACACCCTAGTAACACTCGTAACGGTGTAAAATTGGCTGGGAGTGAGCGCCGCGGCGGCCGCGGTCAGCGTCCCGTGCGTACATGTGCACTCTGCGTGGCGGCCGGTCGTCCAGGTGCCTAAGAAAACACGCAAAACAATGAAACAAAAATAACTACGGCCGGTGGCCGTCTTCCGCTCGTAATGTTAAACCAATGGCGATCGTACCTCTTTTTTAAGACGCTGCCGACGACGTCCCCGTCGGCCACGAACTCCTCGCATCGAAATTTCGAGAAATACATTTTGTACCTCACTTTAAGTGATCTGGGTCTAAAATCTTCACACCGTAAAAAGGATCATATTATTTAATGTATGTATGTAATGGATTACGACGCATTTAAAGATAAATGCGTGCGTAATAACGTATTGCAGACGCGTCAGACGCCAGCTCCCCGTCGGCCAGTCCTGTGGAGCGAAAATCGCGAAAACCGACGGTACCAGCCGGCACTCTCCGGACTATACTAAAAAACAGTAGGTATCAACGCTGATGGTGAGCACCGACTGAACAAGCAAGTGTGTTCTTGCTAATATTTGAGGACAATATGATTGGTCGACGCGTAGCTTCCGCGTCAAACATTGTTTTATATAAAATATAGTTCTGCCTATAATAAAAGGTAGAAAATAATCCTTTTTGCAAAAAGATTTTATGTTATTTTCTTATCATTTTGCGCATACACAATCATGATGACCTTAAAGGTCAAATCACGGGTTGAAATTTTGAATCTCCCGATTTTTTCTACACCGATCGTCCGATGCGATTTCTGATGGTCGCATTCACGGCCGCCTCTGCCACCGTGGCCCGACTGCGCGTCCCCTTTTTCGTTAGACCATATTTCAACTTGTAGCGCTTAATCGCTCATGCCAAACAAAGTTTGCTGCCTTGTTAAAGGGTAAAAGAAAATACATTTCTTTTAACAGATGTCTGTCAAATGAGGTTGCAAATGAGCTCCGAAGTTGGCGTACACTGGTTGCGAGTTTTTAAGTAGACCAACATGGCAATGGCTTAAAACTGTCGCGCTAACTACGAGTAGCGTAGACGAAGAGTGAGTGAGGCGTGGATGTGCTGGAACCTGTCTAGTATCTGGCCCTCCAGCCGGCAGTGGCCGAGCTCTACGAGAGGAGTAAGCCAGAGCTGTTCGACCAGCTGATATGAAAGGTTCAGCTGTGCCGGACAGAGACGCTGTGTGAAGACAAATTACTGAAGCAGCAGTGGCTGGATTCCTCGGCGAGTATTCGCATGAGCATACGATGACGTCATCCGACATTCAGCTGCTGAGACAACTCGCCGCACTGCGAAAGTGGGGCGATTCCCATCCAAACTCACGCACGCTTGTCATCTCCATCGACGTAAGCGCTTGGAACAACGGTTTCCGATCCGAGCTGGTGGACGGAGTCATGAAGGCGACGCTGGCACGGTACTATGACGAGGAGATCCTGAAGGCGGTGCACAAGCCGTATGAGTACACGCACTTTTACTCCGTCGTAGGGAGAGAATTCGTCAACTACTGGTACGGCCAGGGCGGCGGCATCGAGAGCCTCAGTCAGAATACGTGGGTCTGGGTATACCTGGTAATGTGCCACGAGAATCTTCTCGCAGTGGCAGTATCTGTACACCTTCCTGTGCCACGGAGACGACTTCCGCGCGTACATCAGCATCCCCGAGGCCACAGCGCAGGAGCACGGGATGGACCATATCCGGAAGCAAATCATCCGGGCTGTTAAGGAGGGCCTGGCAAAGTACAACCTGTCCGTGAAGGAGTACGACTCTTTCGGATCCTCGACCTTCGGTACCTACAAGAAGATCATGTCGGTTGACAGCATCGTGCTCCCGACCTCATACAGGAAAATCAAGAAGGCCCACTCCACGATGGACGTGACGATTCCGTCCCTGGATGCCTTCATTGGAACCACCTTCTCGAGCGCCCATGGGGCATGTGCGACCGCTCCCACCGTGCTACCTGCTGTGTGTCGGCGGTGCGAGCTTGGGCGAATAAAATTGTATGCGAATCGATCGTATCATGTGTTGTCACGTTGCGAGCGACTTAAGCGAGTGTCATTTGAGCGAACGTCATTTGAGCGAACCATTTTCAGCGACTGGCAACTTAGCGAATATCAACTTGAGCGATTATCAAATATAGCGATTATCAATTTAAGCGCAAGCTATGTTTCAGCGACATATTTTTCGTCGACTACAGTTTGAGCGACTGTCATTTCAGCGAAACACTCCATCGTCCCGTAACGGTGTATTTTTTATTTTTTATTTTTTTCTTTTGCGAGCGTACGTACAACGAATGTTTCCGGAACTTTTCATGGTTATCAGGAACTGGATAGCGGATGTCACGTTCACAGTTCAGACATTAAGCTCCAAATTTAATGCCACATTTCTCAAAAATTCCAGCGGTTCGATTTCACCTGCTGTTTGCCAATAATGGTGACCAAACGTTTGTTCAGAGATTCATATTGCTTATGCTGTTTTTCGCGAAATTCCCCCGCTTGAATTTAGATCAGTTCCTCATGTTGTAAAATTTGTTCTTGCCCCAAGCAACGTACGAATTTCCAGATATTTGGGCGAGGTCCCTGAAACCACGGTGACTGCCTGAAACATAGACTGGATCCCCCTGTGCCACCCCTCGAGTTTATTATCGGTCCTTGGCATTCCTTCCATCGTCCTATCTCTCACGTTCCACATTTCCAGATTAAGGTTGCAGAATGAGGCCAGATATTTTTGTGGTTTCCAAGCTTGAAAGCAAATTTTTAATTTGCCGCTCGCAGCTTGAAGCATGACACATACCAAGCGCTTATTCCAAGGGCAAGAATTCCCGAAAAGTAGCAAATGATTGACTTCCGTCGCGTTCGGTTTCGCTGTAACTGTGTTCGCTCAATTGGTCCCCCATTGACCCCCATATATTCGCTCAATCTGGTTTCGCTGATTCTGGTCCTCGCTTAAGTTGATAATCGCTGTGATTGAATTCGCCGACTTGACAATCGCTAAAAAAGTCAATCGCTTAAATTGATAATCGCTGAAAAGGCCTCGCTCAAATGTCGTTCGCTGAAATGACGCTCGCTCAGGTGTCGCAGAACCGTGTGTCGGGCCTTGCACGGATGAATTCAATACATTGCAAGAAAATATAACAGACGATCAGAAGGAAATACCTGAGCGTTAGCCAAAAAATCTACCCATTAGTCTCCCTTGTCACCAAACGAAGGACAATTCCCAAGCGCTCACAATGTAGCGAACCCACCGGATTGGAAGAGACGGAAGCCGAAGAGACGACCACCGCGACGCAGGCACACGGGCGCCGCGGTCCGATGGGTGGGACGCGCCTCCCGGCGCCGGGCGCGGCACTCGCTCCCGCCCGCCGCGGCCCCGCTCGATCGACTGACGCCAGCCGCCGGCCGGACTATTTCGATCCAGACAGCCCCCGCCGCCCCTTACCCGTCTCCCCTCGTCGGCGCCCTACAACAACAGCCGACGCAGCCGGCGGCAGGGGCGCGCCCAGGTCCCCCGCCCGGGGGCGGCGCCCATGGGCGTTCCCAGGCGTCGCTCCAGGGGAGGACCTGGGGGTGCGGTGCTGCAGTTGCTGCCCAACCCCGCCACCTGACGCCCACTCACCTTCACAAGCGGGTCGGCCAGCTCGCAGATGAGGATGCTGGCCTCGTTGACGCCCGACATCTGCTGCAGCTGCTGCTTGACGGCCGAGTAGCGGGCGTCCATGTTGAGCCGCAGCCCGTACCGTACGGGTACTGAGCCGTCCAGACGTACCACTGGGGAGGAGAGGGGAGGGGAGGGAGGCTGTCAACTGGAAGGACCGTGCCAGAGTGCGAGTCCGTACTGTACGGGTACGGAGTCGTCCAGACGTACCATTGGGGAGGGAGAAAGGGTCATCAACGGGGGGACTGCACTGTACTGTGCCACAGTAACTGTCCGTACCGCACGGGTACTGAGCCATTCAAACGCACCACTGGGGAGGGGAGGGAGGGGTGTTAATGGAAAGTTGACCTATAATTTCGCGAATAAAAAAATGACTGGCTGGGACAATACAAAGAATCGGTAAATTGCATTCGTAGAGTCTTGCATCCGGCGGCAAATCACCTTCCAACAACTTGATAAAGCAAACTTACAGCTGTTCTGTAAAATTGCTAGGTAGCTTGTCAGTTTCGATTTCAATTGGGTTGAAAATGAATCCAGAGAATCTAAGTAAATTGCAACCTACCTTGACAAGTTTTTTGGTGCAAGCCGGGACATCTGCGCAAAAAAAAGCAGTCCGTACCACAAGGATACAGATACAGTTTCTCTCAGACGCACGATCAGGGAGGGAGTATCATCGACTGTTTAACTTCACGCACTCTCCTCCCTCCCATTCACACCGGTTCTATGTCTCCCGTCGCCTGTTCTCCCCTTACCCCCCCCCCTCTTCCACTCACTGTCTCCCTCTCTCCCTCGCTCGCTCTCTCGTACGTCACTGTCTGGATGACGCAGAGGCTATAACGAATGAGCTGCAGATCGAACCCCAGGAGGGAAAACACGTCTAGACAGAGACAAAGAGGGCTGCGTCAGGACCAGTCCATTTGCACCACGTCAATAAACAGCTGAGCCAACTGGTGCTACGCAGTAGCTCGTATAGCAGAGGAAAAACACTACAGAGCTGACACAAAGGCAGGGCCCCCACGACGCCACTGTATATCCCGCCCTTTATAACTGGGATCCCCTCCGGAGGCAGAAGGCAACACTATTTGACTAGGACGACTCTATGAGTCGAGGACGCTAATATGAATGGCATCTGACGTTCGCAATCTTGGTACCGTAAAGTGGGGCTATTTGAGACAGTGGGGCTATTTGAGACAGTATTTAAAATCGCTATAAAATGAAGATCGTTTGATTTTTGTGTGATATTTTTGCTCAGGGAGGTGTGGAATCGAGTAGTAAATCGCCTGAGCAAAAAATCAAGCATAAATTTTAAAGGGAGATAATGACCTTTTTCCACAAAATCTGAGTTAGGATCATTTTCTGACAAAACACAACAAGTTATAATGTAAATTAAAACCATTTTGCTCAATGCGGTACCTTGCCGCAAATATCTCAACTTGAAGTCACGTTAGCGGGGAGCGCTGAAAATGACCGTTGAATAAGTACTTACATCACTTTTTGGTACTTGCATGTAATTTTGTAAAATGAGCGTATTCCTTACATTTGATCTTCATCACATCTAGTTAGTTAATGGTCGTCTATAGTGCCTTCAAAAGATATTCATGGTTTGGGGGTGGTTATGTCTAAATTTACGCAACTATTTTTCCTGTTCATCATCTGAGGCCATATGCTGCTATTTTAGTAGCAACGACTCAATTTTGAATCGGTCCCGCCGACTGCACAATAAAAGAAGATAGATACAACACTTTTGCGGCATCACTGAAAAACTTATGCAGTACTGTTATCAAAATTCTCATAACACCGTTCGACAAACCTGAAGTCTTTTTGAAATAAATATGCTTGTATTTTTCGCTTCAGGCTCTGAGGCCAAAATAATGAATTTCGTAGTCGCAATCGCAAGATTTGGCTGCGTTTCTGGCGCATGCCGTTCATTTGTGGCGCAAAATAATACTTGGAAACAAAGAAGAGTAGGCACTATGTACGAATCTAATTAATTCTAAACCGAATTAACTCTAATTCAAATTAGAATCCTTACAACCAAGCAACGACAAGGCGATAACATAAACAAAAACCCAAGCGTCGCTGTTTGAAACAAAAGCGCCATATACTGCGACTTTTTTTATAGAGAAGGACAAGAAGGACAACGCATTTCGGTGGGTGTTACAAGTACTGCAAGTACTGCTTCTTTTTTGCAAAAATAAAAACCTTTTTCACATACGAAAATGTGCTAGGAAATTTTCATATTTTATAGAAACTACAGTAGAAATAGTATAGATGTCGAGTAATTTTTATTAAAGAAAAAAGAAAGCTCATTATCTCCCTTTAAGTGGTTTTTATTTTATAGCAATTTTAAATATTGTCTCAAATAGCCCCACTGTCTCAAATAGCCCCACCTTACGGTAGTCAAAAGGCAGCCGGTGATGCGGGAATCGGTGACTGAACGAAGGACCATGTTTAATTTACCAGCATAACGTCTATCGAATGACGTCCTCCACTTGTAATTCTTAAACTTATGTCAATCCCCCCATACTACAGGTCAAGCAAGGACATTAGAACAGCTTGCGTTTCTGGTAGATATCGAAATTCGCGTCTACCCAAGTCTCCCGTGACCAAATGAATTTATCAGAGTTCAAGCGCAACAGCTTGACATAGTCCATGTGCAAAATTGAGCATCTTAATGACGTGAATTTACCACACATACCCAAAACACTATCCCCCAGCCGGACAAAACACACAGGATTTGCCGGTCCCGTAGCTCAGTTGGTAGAGCGTTGGACTCCGCGTGGTGAGAGCACGCGTTCCCGGTTACAACAGTCCGGGTTCGAAGCGCGACGGGCGCTTGACATTTATGGGCCTCCTGACAGGTATGGTTGCGGTTGGTGGCAGGCCGTAGCCAGGTGAAGTCAGTGAGGGGACCGGCCGTGCGCGGCTATGTGCGCACGTTAAACTTTGGACTCTAAATTCTGCCATAGAACTGGAATTGCGCGATCGGAGGGTAGAGGGCAGGGTCACCGCAACAAGCTTCGCTTAGCGGTGGCTCTGTCTTTGTGAATCCTTCCCATCAAAAGGTTCGGACTAAATTTTAAAAAAAGGATGTTCTCACAAATAACTAGTACAGATTGCACTCACATGCAAATCCAAAATGCACCGAGATTCGCCAACCCATCTGGCCTTCATTCAGAAATTCCGCAACGAGTAATCCACGACCCAAACCCTTCATATACTTTCAGCCACTACCGAACTTTGCCTGGCACAATATTCCATAATGCTAAGGCACCCTCCCCTTCCCTGGCGATGCGACTTACATGTGATCTCCATGTGAGTGAAGTTCTCCATGGGCAGAGGCAGCGACAGTACATTGAACGGGTCGAACCGCACGCTCTCGTGGTGGCACTGCCGACAGGTGACTTTGGACTTGAGCTGGCCGTGAAACAGGTCCACCACGATCGACTTGTTGCGCAGGATGTGGTTCTCCCATGCCTGAGAGAGACGAGGGTAGGTGATCAGTCGGTGGGTTGTGGAGAAACATCGCGACCACGGCAGACTTCTTATTATCGATGAGCTATGGTATGCATTATCAGATTTGTATGCCGGCACCAGCCAGCTTTCCCAGCTGACTATCCGCCCAATCTCTAGCCCCATTTATATCTCTCTCCCCTTTCCTCTACTAATAACCAGCTCCTCCATTACTTTCATCCATGATTCACTTCCCGGACCCCATTGCTCCCTGTTCTCACCGCTCTGCTCCCTTCATCCCCTCCCCGCTCCCTCGGTTCGCTCAGTCCCTCCCCTCTCCCCTTCCCCGCTCTCTCCACACCCTCCCACGCTCTCTCCATCCCCCTCTCCCCTCCCCTCCCACTCTACTCCTCTCCCCACTCCCACGCACCTCCTGCGCCACGATGACATCCGGGCGTCCCTCGCTGTCACGCAGCTCCACGTACGGCTTGTCGTGCACCCGGTTCAGGTCCTCGTGCAGCCCGTCCAACAGGAAGGCCAGCAGCTCCTGCGCGTCGTGCTGCTGCATGCCGCTGAACCGCGGAGCGTACTTGCCGATCGTGAACTAGGACCAGAGAATAGAGTAGGGCTTTCAGCAGTATCACAAAGTCTATTGGCATGTTTGGGAGAAACCGATCGTGAACTGGAGCCGAGCGCTATTAGTGGCGAGGTTACAAGGTGAGCACTGGCATAAGAACCGAGCAAAACGAAAAAGATTCATGGCTTACAGGAATGAAAACAGGAGCAAATTTTAAGTGGCGTCATAGGCAGTGATAAATATTTCGACGAAAGTGTTGTGCACAAGACATCTCGGACAGATTGAACAACGAAACAAATGGTGACAAATTGAGGACCGACTAGGCCAATTTTATTTCAAATGGCTACTAGAGTTTCACTTCGTGCAATACTCACCCGTAATTTGAGCGGCGCTATCGTCTTGGTGGTACCCCGCCAGATCTCCTGGATTAGCTCAGCGTAACATAGCGCTATGTGACCCTTCATTCCCAGCGGGTTTTTCCTGTAACCGATAACACACAGTGTCAAATAGAATCAAAAACACAGAAATATAAATAAAGCTTACAGAAAACAGTATGGGCACACCTGGCTGCACCTGTAAATGACGAATAGTCTTTGAGTGTCTGCGAAGGTCAAGGTCTAGTGTATGTCTCAGACCCGGCGGGAGTTAGGTCACCGATACCATGTTTGAAATTCGTCCGGGCATGCTATCCGTGAGAACAGAGCGGCTGTGCCACTGACGACTCGACTATCCCGCCCACCTGCTCTTTCCCACTGTATTCGCTCTACCCTCATGTGTCTCTCAATGGGAGCGGCTGACATACAGTCACACCCCCAAACGCACACGGTCGCTACCTGACCACCGTACGGGCTATCTGACATGGCAGGTCACCGGTTCGGACCAAGCCTAGCATTGATGGTTACAGTGGCTACAGCAGTTGCTGCCTGTCCCGACTCTACCTGGCATCAGGAGGGAGATTCGTGCTACAAGGTGTTTGCTGAACAGGTGAGAACGGTGACAATCTCACCGAGGGCAGGTGAGAAGGGAGGGTGTGAGAGCCTCAGTGTTCGCCGACTGTCGTAGTCTGTGATAAATAGTATTCCTGAACAAAGTGTTGGTCTACTCGAGTGGTGTAAGTCGAGTGCGAGTCATATAAATTAACTACTAAAAGCAAATATAAAATCAGTATATTCAAAAAGGTTAACACGCGCACTGCAGGGGGGTTGTTTTCAACCCCCCCCCCCTCTGGTTTTTTCGCTGTAACTCAAAAACCAGTGAAGCTACGACTTTGAAACTTTGTATAGCTGTTCATCAAACAATTTTACATCACCTCTGAAAAAAATTAGTGTTAGGTCAGGCAAGGTCAGGTCACCAGGTCACGATAAGTGACCTCACCTCATAAAAAAGTTTGACGCTGTGCTACATCCACACCATTTGACTGAATGCTATGAAACTTTCAGAAACATATTAGGAGACCATAAGGAACATTTCGTAAATTTCGAAATTTTTATTTCTGTGACCTTTGGTCAGGTCACTTTTGGGGGCCCGGCATGCAATTTCGGACATAACTCGAGAAGTATGGGACATGACATAGAAACGTTATTCTTTCACCATCCCGCTTATTTTATCAAGACGCGTCGATCAAGATGCAACTTGACCTAGTTTGGTCAATGTTTGACCTAACATGACCTGGATCTCAGGTCACCTGAGGTCACCAACGGTTTTTCTTCAATAACTTTTAATTGAATAGAGATAGAGACTCCGTTCGACGTTTATCGTGTTTGTCTCGTCAATGCCGATCGAATGATATGCAACAAGACCTATTTCGGTCAGGTCATGACCTTGACCTGAGGTCAACTTTTGAACTTGACCTTTCGAGGTCATATTATATACCATTCGATGCGCCTTGACGAGCTAAGAACGATGGTGTGTGAATTATTTCTCTATCTCTTTGGGAAGAAAAGCTATTGCAAAAAAAGCATTTCCGGATAATTTGCAATATTGATCTGACATTACATGACCTCTACAGGCTGAACCGTTGACCTTAGGTCAAATCTGAAGACAGCTTAGCGAAAGAGCGTTTCAACAGCTATCGAATGTTTTTTTCGCAACTTTCTAGCTCATCTAGTTCCCGAGAAAAAGCGGGAAATATGGAGGGATGTCGAGATTGCTAAAAAATCGCAACATTTTGAGTTTGGTGACCTCTGCTGACCTCGTTTTTGACCTGACCCAAAAATGATCTTAGTATTTCTTGTACATCTCATCTCAACCTATCCAACGCCGTTTACCGCTTGTCGCTACGTTGCGCCGTTTTCGAGATCTCAGGGGGGGGGGTGTTTTCAACCCCCCCCCCCCCTGCAGTTCGTGTTCGGCTCAAACCCGCTGCAGTGCGCGTGTTAAACAAATCAACAACGGGCGCCACCAGCGACCATAAAATGCATGTTTTTGTACGCCTCAATGTAATTACGTATTTATGTTTAAGATCATGAGTGATCCGCTGTCTACGGATGACGTGTCGATTACTGCTAGGTGTTCGGGGGTGTCATGCATGCAGGGCAACTACCGTGTAGCAAAGGCGACCGATCTTTTCAATCAGTTCGAGAAGCTTGAGCTTGAGCCAGTTCAGAGCGCCGATTGACAGACCATTGCTGGAAGGGGAAGGTTGTGAGGAAGTCAGGCCGCTATCTCGTCAAACCTTCGTCCCAAAAGAGTGTTACAGGTTTTAACAGGCTAATCAGCTGATAGTTGTCATCGTCAGCCTTTTGACCATCGTCTGATTGTGTCGTGTGTCCCGTGTGCATTGTGCAATGTCCGCAACTGTGTAGTGGCTTCGCCTAAGGGCGTCAGAACAGCAAACACACATCGGCCATCCCGCCGCGGCAGTAGCCGTGCCAGACCTAACAAAGGCAGCGGTGGCTGCGAACCGCACCCCTCCCCCGACCGAGCAGACCCGGAGCTCCGCGCCGCTGCCGGCTGGGGTCGCCGGACGGAGCCTGTAGCTAATCACGCACGTCAGAGGCGAGCCCGACAGAGGGGAGGCCGACTGATCTATGACCGAGACGGAGGGGAAAACGACTCCCTGTGCCCCTTGCCCCCCCCCTCCCCTTCCCTTCCAACTTTTTGAGGGTGTGAACGACTCTCCAGAGACCGACCCATGGGAGCGCAGCAGGGGCGCGCTCCACCGTAATTCTGCGAGTTCCGTTGGATTTGAACGGCCGTGGAACGGTCTGATCCCGGGCCGAGTCACGGTCACGGGCATGGTAACGAATAACGAACGTTTCGCGGTGAAACGAGCTGTGTTCTAGTAAGATGTTTCCGTTGATTCCTCGATATACCGGTTATTGGTGCCAATCGGAATTTCTTTTCTTGGAATTCCAATTTTTGTCCAATTCCAATTTGGAATTTGGACGGAATTCTTAACATTTTTTTTGGAAATTAATCGGAACACAATGCCTTTAAAATTTAAAATTTTAAAACGGAGGCCTTTAAAACGCTTTTAAACACTTTTAAAATTTACGCAAAAAATGCAAAAATCGTTAAAAATTGGAATAGCCCCCGCTTTGGACAAAATTGGAAATTTACTTGGCAATTTCTTGGAATTGGATCGGAATTGGAATTGAAATTTCATGAAATTGGCACCACTAATACCGGTATCGGTTATAGACATGCCAAGCTGGTGCCGGGCATATGGAGATACATAGTAAAGACACGAACCATCACGAACAGAACTAAAAATGAGCATTGTCTCGGTGCGTGACACAACAAATATCACAGCGCGAAACGTGGACATCTCGTTATCACGGCATTCATCTCGCATACTCCAATTGCAATAGCAGTTGCGCACGTCTTAGCGCAGATGCCTAAAGAATCTGTGAAGCAGGTTACATGCTGCCTAAATCCGTGATTCATGTATTCACAAACGCACTCCTCCCTCCCTCAGACGCAGAACTGGCCCGACTCAGAGGAGCAGTGCGAGCGCTGGGGCACGCTGGTCAACATCCTGAGCAGCGACACCAACCGGCTGCTGTCCGGCCTGCTGACCGCCTCTGGACAGAGCCGTGCCTGGATCGGACTCACTAACATCGGCCACGCTGACTGGTACGAGTGGACGGACACGCACCGCGCGCCCGAGTTCAGCGCGTGGGGGACGGGTGCGCCCAGTAACGTGTCATGTAGCTGCGGGCTGCTGGTGGGGGACGCCGTCTGGACGGATAAGTGGATGTTTGAACAGGCCGCCTTCATATGTCAGGCCCCGGCCGACGCGAGGGAGAGGTCCGTGCCGCGGGACCAGCCGGCGGCACGGATAACGGCGGAGGGGAATGTTTACTGCTGATTGATCGCGCTACTGTGTGCTGACTGTGTGTGGAGGCACCAAAAAAGGGCATGGAAAACAGGCAAATGGAAACGCGTTCTTAGTTGAGTTGACCTATTGACTTAGGTAAATACATTTTTTGACGAATGGCGCGGCCGAAAAAAAAATGGTAAGGTTTTATGATAACCCGAAAAGTATTGCAGCGCAACATATAAAACCAGTATAGCGCCTTTTGGGGCGACTAACGGAGCGAGCGAGGGGGTGAGTCTTGCACGTGCGAAATTTCGAGGGGGTACCTCCAACTGACTTGTGCACGGCACCCTACTGACCGGGTTCTAGCGATGTGCCAAATTTGAGCACAATCGGCCCAGCCGTTCTCGAATCTGGGAGCGGCACCCTGCACGTGCGCACGTGCAAAATGGGTCCCAACAGACTTGTGCACGGCGCCCTACTAACTGGTCCCTAACCGTGTACCAAATTTGAGCGCCATCAGTCCAGCCGTTTTCGAGATCTGGAAACGACCCCTGCACGTGCGCACGTGCAGCAGCACCCCAACTCTGGCACATGGATATGCAGTGCCTAGTGGGTGCCTACCTACGTCCTACATGCCAACTTTCAGCGCAATCGGCCAAGTAGTTACCGAGATATAGCAACAATTACAAAACTGACACCTCTTCGTTTTGCACGTGGCACGTGCATAAGGGGTCACCGACATGCATCGGGAATAGTCCAATAATTGGTAGAAGGAATGAAGCTACCCTACAAAAATTACCGCGTGTAAATCGGTCAAGTGGTTGCTGAGATATAAGCCTCACAAAAGCGTCCGCACGGCCGGCCGGCCGGCCGCTCATACTCAGAAATTTCCGTTAATTACCAGTATAACGCCTTTTGGGGCGACTAACGGAGCGAGCGAGAGGGTGAGCCTTGCACGTGCGAAATTGCGAGGGGGCACCTCCAACTGACTTGTGCACGGCACCCTACTAACCGGTCTCTAGCGATGTGCCAAATTTGAGCACAATCGGCCTAGCCGTTCTCGAGATCTGGAAGCGGCACCCTGCACGTGCGCACGTGCGAAATGGGTCCCAACTGACTTGTGCACGGCACCCTACTAACCGGTCCCTAACTGTGTACCAAATTTGAGCGCAATCGGTCGAGCCGTTCTCGAGATCTGGAAACGACCCCTGCACGTGCGCACGTGCAGCAGCACCCCAACTCTGGCACATGGATATGCAGTGCCTAGTGGGTGCCTACCTACATGCCAACTTTCAGCGCAATCGGCCAAGTAGTTACCGAGATATTGCAACAATTACAAAACTGACACCTCTTCGTTTTGCACGTGGCACGTGCATAAGGGGTCACCCACATGCATCGGGAATAGTCCAATACTTGGTAGAAGGAATGAAGCTACCCTACAAAATTTACCGCATGTAAATCGGTCAAGTGGTTGCTGAGATATAAGCCTCGCAAAAGCGTCCGCACGGCCGGCCGGCCGGCCGGCCGGCCGCTCATACTCAGAAATTTCCGTTAATCTAAGGAAAGACTACGCTCGCTTCGCTCGCTCCGTAATAAGGAAAGACTCCGCTCGCTTCGCTCGCTCCGTAATGAAAGCGACAAAAAAGCATGCAACGCAAGCAAACGAAACTGGATCATGTGTTTTTTCCTTCACTGTCCCAGCATACATTTGCATCCACTACCCTTAATGACTGCCCACTGTCCGTCCATGACTTGTATGGCGTCTGTGGTGTCCAAAGTGTCACGTCACCTCTCCTTGGCGAAAACATCCGGTCAGACTGTTTACAATGTCAATGTGACGCCCCCGATGTCGGCCCCCGCCCGCCGTCTACTCACCGGTTGACTTCGTAGAGGTGCATGTTGTCGACAAAGTACTTTGTGAGCGCCGTGGTGTTACTGCAGCACTGAAGCGCCGTGTTCATGAAGCATGTGTTGCCCACGTTGTTCAGACCCGTGACGCCTTTCTCGATCGGCGCTGAAGTGGAAACGCAAAACGAATCAGACACATAGCATTGAGGGAGGTTAGCTGTAGGCTGCGCTCCAAAAGCAATTTATGTCCCTACCCTTGCATGATTTATGTTAGCAATAAAAAGTACCATCGATACAAATACACTATCATGGTGGATGACACCCTCGCTGACAGCATGTGGCATGTATCTAGTCACTGAGTCGGACGTAGTTAACCGTCAACTTCCTACTTTACCTACCAATGTGGTGTGCGCCGCTAACAAGCTCCTATAACCTACCGATGATATGCCGCCCGCTGACATACCTAGACGATGCTGTTTGACCCACTTAAAGTCTTAGCCGGTGTTGTGCACCCCGTCTATAACCTATACAGTACAGTACCGCCCCACTGACATACCTAGCCGGTGTTTGGCTGCCTGGGCGCGGCTGAGGTTGGCGATGGTGGACATCTCTTCTGGCCAGGTCTGGTCCTTGTTTCGCACCTCGATCAGTACCTGGTCGTTGTCGAGCACTCGCAGCTGCTCCAGTGTCGGCGTCTCGTCCTCCCATAGCACCATGTTGTTCTGGATGGGGTGTGCGGGCGGGAGCGTTACTACACCTAGCTACAGAGGCAGGGAGAGAAGATACGGTACGGGGACAGCCCAAGAGACGATAGGGAAAGAGTGAGAATACAAGAGGAGCCAGAGCTGCAGGTTTCGTATTACGAACGAATGAGCCTGGCATAATACCTGCAGAACAAAATAACAATAAAAAAATGATACCAAGCAGCAACATCAGGATCATATCGTTCCGCTCTTCCTTCTCGTTGCGTACCATCCCACATCTGCCCTATTCCTTACCCCGTCCCGTCCCGTCCCGTCCCGTCCCGTCCTGTCCCTTCTCGTCTCGTCCCGTCCCGTTCTAACCCGTACCTCGTCCCGCACGTGCCAGAGCCGGGTGTCCTCTGGCCGTAGCCGCAGCCGGGAGCCGAGGAACTCGTACAGTTGCCGGACGGTGGCCTGGCGACTGAAGGCCGCCGTGTAGGCCAGGTACCGCTTGGGCGCCGTGCTGCCGCTCAGCATGTTGGAGTAGGAGGAGACGTCCACTGCAGGAGGCAAGGGGGAGGGGGGGGGGGCGGTCAGCCGGGTCGGCAGGGAGGGTGTTTGTGGAAGGTGGAACTGGACTGCGATTAGCTATGCTACTAGGGAAACTAATTTGAAATGTGCCAGAAGACGAGTGTTTACAAAATTATACCGTTGGTATAATTGGCTCAGTGGCTCAGAGGAATATATAAGAACGTTTCAGGAACGTGTGAGCGCTAGTGTGCACTTTATGAACTGCATCTTAAAAGATAGGCCCGACGGCAAAGCTGGGTTACATTCACGTTTGGTAGGTAAGATGTAGATTGTCAGATACGAAATATCACTAATGTGCGAGTTGTGTAACACACATACAAAATGAGCCCAAAGTGGACTTGAGTCTCTATTACCGAGAAATACATCCCTTACCACTGTTTGCTTGAAGTTTCATACACATAATCAACTAGAAAGGGTGGAAAGGTTAGGATACAACAGACATAGAGACATTGAAGACTTCCAAGATGCCCATCAGCATACGCAACCGTACACACATGCATTTCATGAATACGCATACAGCCATAAAGAGCATGTTACGTAGGTTGTCACAAGGAAAGCTGTCAGCTTTGACGATGTTCTATCTCTGGTCCTGATAAGACTGGAGCCATTAGCGCACATGACGTGCAAAACTATACATTGACCATCAACACGACGCTGCGGTCGAACGAGCACGCATCAGACGACACGACCATCTTATCGCCAACATTTGTTGTTCGATAACATCGCATGTAACAACTGGCAGGCAAAGATTTTAGAACTATTATTACAGATAATCCACAGGGAACAGTGATCTACAGCCAAAGGTGCAATACGCTTATCATGGATCCGCCACAATGTTGTTTAGCCCACTATACATTTACAAAACACTTCCAGATATACAACAACAGCGGGCTCAACAGGTCAAGCAAGAACAAGAAAGAGCAGCTCAAGGTGAAGATATGGGCTGTTCCATTTCGCAGCCCCAGTACATGGAACAAACTTGACTATCTATCTACAGGTAACAACGCAGTCGATACCAGCTCAAGATAAAGCCGTAAAGGACACACTCATACGGGACAGCTGATCATGCCGGGTAGCTTCTTATACACAACTAGCCGATCATTTTCCTTGATCCACATCACATCCACACAGCTATGAGCTACATACACAGTACACACAGACAGAGACCAATTCAGCCTACATCCACAGGACAGCGTCGTGCGCGTGCAGAGAGCGGGTGGTGCGTCTCACCTAGCGGCACGCCCGAGTACCCACCGACCGATCCGGACCAGGAGGTCTGGGCGCCGCGAGCCGCCGGCGCCGCCTGGTGCCGCAGCAGGCGCAGGTTGATCGGGTACAGCTCCAGCTCCAGTGATACACCGGGAGATGGCTGGATCACCTGAAGGGGAGATAGAGGGTCAGAGAGGGGACGGAGGCGGGTCGCGTGAAGACTGGATGACCTACAGTCTACACTCGCGGGAGGTACGGGTAACAGCGAGCTCTTCAGACGGAAGTCCAGAGGGCCTTGTCAGGCGACCACCACCCTCACCTAACGAGGTAGTCCCGGCGCGCCGCCGTACGACTGCAAAGTCCCGTCACTGTCGCTGTCAGACAGACAGACATACAGACACACAAGCAGCGACCGCCCTCACCTGACGAGGCAGACCCGGCGCGGCGCCGTACCGCTGTACAGTCAAGCTACTGTTACTGACAGACAGGCAGACAGAGACCCTCACCTGACGAGGCAGGCCCGGCGCGCCGCCGTACCACTGCACCAGCGCCTTCCACAGGCTCTCCGGCACCAGCTCGAAGTCGCGGCCGCGCGTCAGTGTGACGTCCGTCCGTAACCGACCGCCCTCACCAGTGAGGTTGGTCACCTGACGACGGCAGGCGCCAGCGGGTCAGGAAGGTTGTCATTTGGGGATACGATATAAACGGGAGAGCCGCGGGGACTCAACACTGACTCAGAGGGCGCCAGTACGGTGTATGTCGGCCAATTCGGCTGCCAGCGGTCGCTTATCATCGAAGCAATGGTCATGAAAGTGAAAAACAGTGGTCGGTATGAAATGCAAGCACTCACCAAAATCACACTTTTGACGTAATTATTTGAGGCAGTCATAAAATAGCAAGCTCGTGGTTACTAAAGCAGCACGACGCATGTTACACGGATCGATCAACCCACTAAAATCTTGACAGCCAGATGTTGAAAGCGATGACCCCCTCCAATAATGTGCATAGGTTTGCGCCCAATTTATCTCCACCATGACTGAGCCACCAGTTGGTGGGGACCATCAAATACAGCTCACCTTCCCTCACTGAGTGTCCCCATTTTCTCACCTTATTGGCCGGAGTCTGAACGAGCGGCAGGTTGTCCACGGCGCCGGGCCGGGGCGGCGCCGCCGGTACAGCCCCCGGCGTCAGCTTCCGGCTCGGGTTGGGTGAGGGCGCCGGGGACGGGGTGCCGGCCCTCTCCAGGCCCGTTATGGAGACGGTGGAGGCCGCCGAACGGAGACCGCCCTGGCGCGGCCGCAAACAGTCGGCGCTAGGGTTCTCCGAGAGAGTCTTCACGCTGGTTACCACCACGGGACTGGGGGTAGGGTGGGGAGAGTTATAGCCAGATTGCAACGAGTAGCAAAAAAGTATGAGCGACGTCAAGTGTGTAAAAACGCGAGAGACATTGTAGTTTGTAGTTTTGTTTAGCTCGCCGTGTGACGGGCTGAGTGAGACGCGGCGTGACGCAGTTGTGTGCCTGGGGGACGCCGTCTAGCCGACACTGATTTATGTGACTGTGGGGAGGGGTGCACGGTAGTGGCGGCGGCGCCGTCGCCCGAGAGAGAGAGAGAGAGAGAGAGAGAGAGAGAGAGAGAGAGAGAGAGAGAGAGAGAGAGAGAGAGAGGGGGGCAGTGTTGTCGGAACGGTCATGCGAGGATCCAGTACGCTCAACAGACATGGACCCACAAGACCCACCACTCCCACCCCTGTTCATTTAATCTCTCGTACCGTTTGTTTAGTCCCTGTTCATCTCCCCTAGGACCGTAGGCTATTCACTGTCCACCTTCAATGGACCGTCGGCGTATCACCCCTCACCCCCCCCCCCCCATCTAACCCCACCGGATAGTATTGGTCCTTGTCTAGTGTCCAGTGTCCACATCCCCGTATCGCACCAGCCCCTATCCCCCTCCCTTACACTAAAGGTCTACCAGCCCCCTCCCTGACTGACCCGCTCGTCCGCCATACACCCACCCGACATCGTTGGCCACCACCGCGTCCGCCTTGCACTTCTTATCCCGGCTGTGGGAGCGAGTCAGCGTGCTGTGACCCGAGCTGGTGGAGCCCAGTGAGGTCTGGGAGGCGGCGGCACCGGCCGCCGGGCCCACCTCCGGCTGAAACACGAGGCCGGTCAGTCGTTCATCGCACACCACAGGGGTAAAAACGAGTCATTACGGCCGCATGAGTCACCCACGGACCGGCAGCTAGCGCCGCGACACGCGCACGGGAGGAGACGCGGAACAGTGGAGTACGATTACGGAACGAGTATACACCTAGCCTGATGCAACTGGTGCGGAATTCTGGCGTAAGCAGCTTTAATGGTCCTCATCAAAGCATTGCTTCCGATGGTCAGAGGCAATTAAACGTCTCAAATTATAAGAAACATAAGCAAAATAGTAGCGCCACGGAACTAACAGACGCCATTCGCTACGCAGCGTGTGAAGACGCATCCAAATCGCCGCATCAAGTTGCAGTCCTTAACAACGCTCTTCCGACCAGCAGACTCGTCCCCTCTCGATGTCTCAGGCATATTTCTCAATCGATTGAGATGACTACGATCCACTTCGTCCTCACCTGGTAGTTGACGTAGTCGGTCCAGGCGTTCCACCAGGCCATGTTGACCAGGTACCAGAGCGCCCCCACCCGGTACCCGAGCGACTCCTGGCGACACAGCCAGCCCAGCACAATGTCCGCCTCCTCCAGCCGCGTGCGGGGCTTCAGGCCCAGCACCACGTGACACACCTGAAAGGCAGGGAGATACATGTAAGATGTAAGCCACGTGATAGGACGACGAGCAGCCCGCGGTGCAGGCCTAGCACCACGTGACACGCCTGAAATTCAGTGAAATGAGTCACGTGACAGGACGACGAGCAGCCCGCGGTACAGGCCCAGCACCACGTGACATACTTGGAATGCAATGGAACAGTTCATGTGACTGGGTTCACGGCGAAAACGTAAGAGCGGGTGAGCAAAGTGTGGAGCACCGTCATGTCACTGTCAAACACCACAGAGTGCCACTTGTCAAGAACGTCGTGCGGATGAGCGCAAACACAAACTTGTTCACTTCTAGGGCTCACGCGTGCACAGCAAACACAAACTTGTTCACTTTCTAGGGCTCACGCGTGCACAATGCACTTGTTGCAAATGACAAATGACATTGCGGAAACTGCAGATAAAAATGACAGGCGTACAAGGACAGAGAAAGAAGTACACAAACCGCTCGACAGACAGGTCTGAAACGAAACATGTCACATCCGGTGTAACATCACGTAACGTTACTAAATACATAGCGTCATGGTGCGTAACTATCACCGAGCATGAAGCCACTGCCCAATCGAGTCTCGACTGTCCCCAACTTCCAAAAAAAAAATGACTCAAAGTCCCGTGACCTGACGCTCCACACGCGACCTGTGGAAAATTGGCCTGCTTTGACGGGACGTGGAGCGGGAGAAATTGGATCCGACCGATACGGGTGGACTTAAAGGTTAATCATAAGGACAATGAAGACATGTACCCATGGAAGGTAAACGAATTGGCCAGCTATTCGGGTAGGACTGACTAGCGTTAGTGAATACCGTGCCCAGTTATAGAGGGAGCCATGGTAAAGGTGAGCATGACGAGAGGCAGTTTAAAGGGAGATAATGACCTTTTTCCACAAAATCTGAGTTAGGATCATTTTCTGACAAAACACAACAAGTTATAATGTAAATTAAAACCATTTCGCTCAATGCGGTACCTTGCCGCAAATATCTCAACTTGAAGTCACGTTAGCGGGGAGCGCTGAAAATGACCGTTGAATAAGTACTTACATCACTTTTTGGTACTTGCATGTAATTTTGTAAAATGAGCGTATTCCTTACATTTGATCTTCATCACATCTAGTTAGTTAATGGTCGTCTATAGTGCCTTCAAAAGATATTCATGGTTTGGGGGTGGTTTATGTCTAAATTTACGCAACTATTTTTCCTGTTCATCATCTGAGGCCATATGCTGCTATTTTAGCAGCAACGACTCAATTTTGAATCGGTCCCGCCGACTGCACAATAAAAGAAGATAGATACAACACTTTTGCGGCATCACTGAAAAACTTATGCAGTACTGTTATCAAAATTCTCATAACACCGTTCGACAAACCTGAAGTCTTTTTGAAATAAATATGCTTGTATTTTTCGCTTCAGGCTCTGAGGCCAAAATAATGAATTTCGTAGTCGCAATCGCAAGATTTGGCTGCGTTTCTGGCGCATGCCGTTCATTTGTGGCGCAAAATAATACTTGGAAACAAAGAAGAGTAGGCACTATGTACGAATCTAATTAATTCTAAACCGAATTAACTCTAATTCAAATTAGAATCCTTACAACCAAGCAACGACAAGGCGATAACATAAACAAAAACCCAAGCGTCGCTGTTTGAAACAAAAGCGCCATATACTGCGACTTTTTTTATAGAGAAGGACAAGAAGGACAACGCATTTCGGTGGGTGTTACAAGTACTGCAAGTACTGCTTCTTTTTTGCAAAAATAAAAACCTTTTTCACATACGAAAATGTGCTAGGAAATTTTCATATTTTATAGAAACTACAGTAGAAATAGTATAGATGTCGAGTAATTTTTATTAAAGAAAAAAGAAAGCTCATTATCTCCCTTTAACCAGTTGGGTAACGGCCAGTGCGTTATTTATATGTAAGTGGTAACTGATTGTTTGTCTCTTTTTTATAAATAGAGACAATGCAACTATCTACATCATCTAACTGGCCGTGAACTTTCCCAACAAACATAATGCAGCACGACGACAGACCGAGCACCACGGCAGTAGTCCAGCGCCCTCCCCACCCTAACCGAATGGGGACACCGGTCTAACAAACGACCAGTGCCAGGCAAAGGAGAAACTAATGGGACCATAATCGACGAGACAAACAAACATAACACCCTACGAGAGACATTCCGGGAAGAGACAAACTGAGGTACCCACTGACAGCAATTATTGGTCATTCATTAACAAGTTCATAAACAAACCACCTACATTCAATCTACATTCAATCGAGAGGACTGCTCTTTTCATAGGCGTATTCGTTCCTGGCTGCGAATCGCTCCATCATAAATCGACACTTCTGTGTCTCCAAGTGACAGCTTTTGTGGTGAGGCCACCAACGACAACATACACAATATTTAGAAATGACTGGTTAAATATGAAGAATTTAGCCGCCATATTCAACGCATCATACAGAGTAGTATTAAGTATCGATGTTTTAACGATATTAACCTCCTTATCAAACCAATATGAAGCGATTCTCGTCAGTTATATATGCAATAGCTGTTAAAAGCACTGCCAGAAACAAAAATGCGTATAAAATTAGAGTAGGTATTCAAAATGGGTAGCCGGTTGTTTCATGCAGGGCGGTGCAAGAAATGCGGGCGGCCGCGGAACTGGAAGAGTGCATTAGAGAATTGCAAGAAAATACCAATGAGGGGAAAATTATCCTAGCCCTGCATCGACTTCCCGACCATTTAACTCCTGTGAACTGTCGATCAGCAGCCGGCGCTGAGGACGCGTCCCCTCTGACCCAGAATCGACCCGCGTCGGACCCGTTCACTGTCGCGGGGATCGGGCGGCGACCCGACGACCAACGCCGGCCGTCGGGCGCCGCTCCATCGAGTCGGTCGCGACAAACGGCGCCGGCAGCGACGACAATCGATCTGTGCAGACCGTCAGTCCCGACCCTGGCCACGGCAGCCGAGCGGCGCCGATCCGCACCCGACGGCAGCGCAGTCGACCTGTCGTGTCTGTCACCCGCCGGGGTGGGAGCTGTGAGCATACGCAATCGCTTCATCTAGTATATGAAAGTGTGTGATAGGATTGGCATATCCGGCCTCAAGACTTGGAGTCACTTTTCGTCCATATCTGTCCATTTTTGTTCGATATTCGCATCAATTTCTTGCCATTGTACTTACACATGCACCTGCTCATTTCGCAGCTGCAGCTATGAGTCACATGCAGCCAGCGCGACCAGCATCAAAAACATAAACAGGGCGCCCTTTGAGCCGACTGTACAGCTCCACCGTTCACATCCTCCTCGCTCCATAGCACTGCCCCAGACTTGTAAACGACTCAAAATTTTTTTGAGTCGATTCTTTGTTTGAGTCTGGAAATTTGAATCGATTCATCAAACGACTCATGATGTTAAATTTAATTGATTCGAATCAACTCATGACTCATCAAGTTCCTCGATAAAATGATTCGAATCAACTCATGACTCGAGCAACTAGCCAACGGAATGATTCGAATCAACTCATGACTCACATTTTGATGAATCGATTCAAATCAACTCATGACTCACACGATATTTTTATTGAACTTATTTCATTCAACCCATGACTCACTATAGGCATTTGTTGATTATTTGACTCAAAGCTATGATAAAATGAATATGCCGCATACCACAATTGTATTAAGCAGCATAGTAGCCTTGACCAAAGATTCAAGCAGCTACCTAGTAGGACTAGGTACATAGGTACCTACCTTACACCTACCTATCTTCAACACTCAACAGTCAACAGTGCAATATCAGATAAATTTGTAAGTAACTCTGAGAGACAATTATAATATAAGTGAGGACTAAGGAGTAGCATAGTAACCCAGAGCCTATTTTAAGGGAATTTGACTGGGGGGGCAACCTGGAAAATTGTCTTTAATAATCCATTAACCCTCGCCCGTATTGGTGTTTCCAGTAGCGAGCGTATAGGGGGGGGGGGGGGTCCGTTGGACCCTCCCCCTTGCCGTTTCGCCCCTGATCGAGCTAGAGCTTCGCGGAAAAACGACCGTGTTGCCCGTGATAAAAAGGAAGCCGATTATACCCAATTTTAAGGTCCTAGGTCATCGGTTGACCTTCCAGGTCAGGTCATTGACCCAAAAGTCGGGAAAATTGGGACCTGTTAGAGCGTCGTAAAGAGTGGCTGCTATGGTTTTTCGGGGTGCTGATCACGAATATCATGTTAGTTATGATCATAGATGATGTCTTCATGCATTTAGGCCAGGTCAGGTCAGGTCAGGTCAACCAGTAAGGGTTTTGCCGGGTATTCGTAGTAGGTGGCAACCGCCTCTGACAGCTTCGTAACATGTTACGAAGGCACCAAAACTACTTCGTAAATGGTCAAATGGTTGCTTAATTCGAATTCAGCTCCAAAAACTAGCCTAGAAAGTAGAAACATATAAAACTCGAAAATGTGAACCGAGGTCATCAAAGGTAAATGATCTGACCTGAACTTCCGGTGATCTTGACACCCACCCTAATGCATGGGAGCTACATCATATCCCATGTTTGAACGTTTGAAACCACGAAAAGACTGCAAACGCGCGGCTAATGCGAGGCGACATACGCCGAATCGCGACCTCGGCCAAACATGGTGCCATGGTGCTAGGCCGCCGGTGCATCTGAAAGAACTGTGGTGCCCCTGACAAGCCTGAAGTTCCAACGACAGGCCCGTGGTGCCCCTGACAGGCCCATGATGCCTTTGCGAGGCCGGTGGTGTCCACGTGAGGCCGGTGGTGCCCCTGGGCCCTGACAGGACTGTGGTGCTCCTGACAAGCCTGGAGTGTCCCCGACAGGCACGTGGTGCCACTAACAGGCCCAAGGTGTCCCAGTCCCTGCGAGGCCGGTGGTGTCCCTGCCAGGCATGTGGTGTCCATACTAGGCCTCTGGTGCCCCTGACAGGTCCGTGGCGCCCTTGCTAGGCCTATGGTGCCT